TTGAAAAGATGCTCAACTTTTATTTTTTTAAAGAGGCAAATGCAAATTAAAACCACTATAAAATATGATTTTAAGTACTACAAGATGTCAAAAATATGATGAGTGTTTAAATTTTTTGAAATGTACTGCAAGTTCAGGCGTGGTGGTGCGTGCCTGTAATCCCAGCACTCGGGAGGCCAAGGCAGGAGGATCATTGCGAGTTCAAGACCAGCCTGGGCCATAAAGTAAGCTCAAGGTCAGCCTGAACTGCATAGTGAGACCTTGTCTCAAGAAGACAAAAAAAAAAATTTAAAAATGTATTGCAGTAAAAGACACATTGCCATTAATCACCCTGAAAATACCCTTACTTTGAACACACTTATCCTATCATTCTTTCCACTTTCTGGAGACGTCTGGAAGTCCTCTTTCATAAGGGTCTTTAGTGGTATTGTGGTATTCCATGATGTCCTGAATCCATTCAAAATGTTGACAGCAATTTGTGTCAAATGAAAACATTATGGTCCCCTTATCCATTTTACTCACCAGGTCTGGGACCATGCAACTTCTGGCTCTTCTCCAAAGTCCAAATGACCATGAAAGGTAAATGTTTTGCTAGAGTAGAACACCTAAGGCTGAATAATTTATAAAGAACAAAGATTGATTTCTTACAGTTTTGGAGGCTGGGACATCCCCATGAAAGATCTGGATCGGGCCAGGCCTCGGTGTTGCATTGTCCTACAGTGGGAAATGGAAGCACAGGAGAGTGCAAGGTGAGGGTCATGAGAGAGCAGGTGCACAGTTTCAAGCCTGTTTATGAGTGGCACTCATCCATTCATGAGGTGGCGTCCTCAGGATCTAAACACCCACCATTAGGCCCCACCTCCCTATACTTACACTGGGGATTTAGAGTCCAGCACCTGCTTTTGGAAAGAGGCAAACCAGAGCAGAGGCATAAAATAAAGATTCGAGGCAGCAAGTTTCAGAATAGAGGAAAAAGAAAAGGAACTGCTTGAGGAGACACCACACAGAAAGGACATTATCAAAGACATCATTCTGCAAAGAATCATAGAATATCCTTTCTTCTTGATAACACCCAGTTCAAGACAAAGCTTTGGTTCCTTAGACTCTCCTCAAAATCACCCTGTTATAGCCCCCATCTTATAATAGGATTTTTTCTAACCATTCTCTTACTGAAATGCTCTGTAGCTCCCCATGGCACACATGCTCCCTAGCTGCAAGAAGTAATAAACATGTCGGGCGTGGTGGCACACACTCAGGAGGCTGAGGTAGGAGGAGTGTTGTGAGTTCGTGGCCAGCCTGGGCTATAAAGTGAATTCAAGATCAGCTTGAACTGTATAGTGAGACTCTGTCTCAAAACGACCAAAAAAAAAAAAAAAAAAAAAAAAAAAAAAAGAAGTAATAAACCCACCTTGTTCAGTAGCAGGTGTGCTCTTGTAGTCTTCGGCTAGAAGGCGTTGACAGGCTAAACAGAAAGTACACTAACTAATCTCCTTTCTTCTAGATATGTAACCAGAGGGTGAAAGATTGATGTCAGCAGCCTTGAAATCTCCAGTTGGGCAGTGTTTGATACAGGTGTGACACATAATCACTGGTTCTGAGAAAGTGGATAAAATGTGGGGTTGAGAATACTAGTGCAATTTCAGGTCCCAAGGATGGGACCAGTCATGAAGGAACAGAAATTGTGCCAGTGAGGTGGCATCAGGGTGAAGTAGATTAGGACGAGGGCCAAATAGGTCAAAGAAGTGGGTGCTATCTGTCAAAGTCCTACAGACCCAGGTCACATATGCAGAACACAGAGTTCAGGATGACTCTGCAGTGCCTGAGCCCTATACACAGAACCAATCAGAAAAGTTCTATTTTCAATCCTTCATTTACATCTGGCATAAAATCAAGCAAGTTTTCAACAGGACAGTTTAAATCGGGTCCCAAGGTCAAGTGAGTTTTTGATAGGACAAGCATCCCAAATGCCTTACTTGCATGAGAAAGAAGCCAGTCTAGGAATTCTGCATAAACAAGGCCTTTTCTCTTTTCCCTGTGGCCACTGTGAGTCTGTTCACCAGCCCGTTCTCACTCTGCAGAGCGCACTTCTTTTCCACCTTCAATAATGTACATCCTTGCTACGTTTTCTGCCTGTCTTGTCCAATTCTTTGTTCATGACACCAGGAACCTGGAAAGAATTTCCCCGAGACCCATCAACCAGTAACAAGGACAGTTTCTCCATCCAGTAAAAAAAAAAACAGGTCATTACTCTGTCCTCACTTGACTCAATTTCTCTTCAGCTATTGGCTCCTTGGAACAAAGATGAGGATTTGTAGAGATTGAGATCAGCTTGACTCAGGCAAAGAAGAAAGAAAAGAAACAAGAAGGCATAACTGGGTGAGGCCTAAGGCTCCGAGGAGTGCCTAGGGGTGGCTGGAGCCGGGCGTGGCTGTGCTGGTCAGGGAGAGATTGGTGGGAACAAGATCGCAGTTGAAGTGTTACTGGCTCCCAGTCTCATCAGAGTTCATCCCTTTTACTCTGCCAACTTGGCAGCAGCAGCAGCAGCCCCAGTGGCATCTTCAGAGAGCACACCACAGAAAGCCTGAGAAACAGGAGGGAAATGAAGAGAAATTTCCCTTGCAGGTCATTCTCATTTCCACACCTGGTCCTTCTCTCTCCTTCTACAAACAACTAAGAAGGAGTTGCTCACAAAAAATACAAAGCACTAGAACTAGCGCATGAAGAAAGGTACTGTGTAAATGGGCCACTGGGCCTATACGTCACCAGGGCCCCAGAGCAGCCTCCTTAAAACAACAGGAGGTGGTTCCTATCCATCCACATCATCCCCATGACTCAGACTGTCGGCTCTTCCTTAGTTTGTGGAAATGGGACAATCAGAGTGCTGATGGGCCTGCTTGCCGGAAATGACACTGTGACCCCTGGGAGCCATCCAGACATACCTCCCTGTTGGGAAGTCCCATTGGTCATCAATCTATGTATCTCCAAGTAGCCTGGTTGCTTGGACTGAGTGAGGAGAAAGAGGTGAAATGCCCTATTGGGACTGCTCAGAGCAACACTCCCCTCCAATTCCCTTCAGGTCTTCATTAGTGGCTCTTTGGAGTCTGGGAGTGGGGAGAGGCTGTGGTCTTCAGGCCTGGGGCACTTGGCCCTGGGGTAGGGGCCACTCCTCAGCTGTCACAGCCCCTGTTGTATGGCATTAGCACCTCTCTTCAGGCTCAGGACAGTGGTACAGATGGATCTGAGTTCCTCTGAGACTTTCTCTTCCCACCCCCAGAGAAACTATACCATCTTTCTGGATTGTAGATATTTCAATAAAATCAAACTGGCATTAAAACATTAACAGAAAATGTAGTCAGTCTCCCTAAATGCAATGTAGGATCAAGTGAGACTAAAGCAGGACTGTTCATAGTGACATTCTTGGGGGCCAGTGAGTGGCTCAGCCCCTCTTGAGGGCTGCTTACCTGGGAAATCTCAAGTTGGCCATGGGTACAAGTAAATGCACTTCTTCATCGCATCCTTTCCTGCTCTTCCTGGGTGATATCCCCTCACCAATCTGCACCCACAGATCCTTGGTCCTGTGAGCCCTGGCTTGTGCCATTGACTTGGTCACTACCCTTAGAGCTTCCACCTCTGACATCCCACATTCTATTCTCTGAACCCAATTCCTATCCTTCCATCTCTGTCACTCTATCACCTTTACTCTATCTGCTCGTCACCGCAGGGAATCCCTCAGTTTGTAGAAGCCATCAGGCCCTCTTGCTTCAAGTCCTTCTTAGCCTTAGATCCTGGTCTCAGCTTGGGAGGCCAAGAGGAGGAGGAAAGGGACGCCTTTCCCTTGGTAGGCTGCCTGGGCTGTGGCTGGCTGTGAGGCCAGGCTGGAGAGAGGGAGGAAGGCGGGGGAGTCAGCTGGGTTAGGGGCCCCACTGAGAAGCTGGCCACGACAATTGAGAACAAAGGCTAGACGCTCTTCCCCTGAGCTCCGGAGCCTGGCCTTGGCCTTCCGGGAACAACTCCAGGAAATGGCTGAGATTCCAGATTTGGAAGGAAGAGACCTGTAAACAGGAGCTGGGCTCTGAGAGCGGAGAGCAGCCTGTCCAGCTCGTGGGAGGGTCTGACTGACAAGGCAGGCTGGGAAGCTGCAGAGCCTGTCTGCTACACACACTTGAAAGATCTTTACTCCGTCACCCTTTCCAGCACCTGAAAAATAGCCCAAGTGAGGATGCTGAAATGGGTTCGGTGATGGAATGTATGAACAATTATTGTGACCTATCCTTCACTTATAATGTGTCAGGCACAGCAGATGCTGTTTTACTCATTCCGTTATTACTCCAGCCCAAGATAGGATCTACTACTGTATTAGTATCCCAGTTTTACAGGTAAGGAAACTGCCTTGCCGGGTTAAAGCATCTGCTCAATTCAAGGCCTCACAGAAGCTTGTTTCATCATCTCTGGGCTGAATGCAAGCACGCCGGGGTTCTCTCCCAGCTTGTTCCAGAGGTCCTCAGCCCTTCCTATCTTCCATCTTCCCATGCCAGCCCCATCTGCCTCGGGAAATGGACCTGGCATGACCATTCACCCCAGCTGCCTCCACTTAGCCTCCTCGGCCTTCAGTCCCACCACCGCCATGTGTCCACAGCTTACTGCGCTCCCCAAGGCCCCACCTCTGGGGCTCCAGCCTACTCCAACAGATGGTCACTGGGACACAAAGGCATCAACACTGAGATCTGGGGATGAGGCATAAATAGGGTTTGGGGGTTGGAGGGTTAAGAGTGTGGGTGAAGTTACAGTTAAGTGTGAGGATTCCCTTTCAAAAACCCCAAACCAGACATGAAGTAAACTTCAGGACTGAAGTTGGGTCAGGGGTTCTGGCTAAAAGGTAGAGGTCAGAGTTTCTTCTGGTCACCTCCCAGTTCTCCAAGGCACTGAGGGCCAGGCAGGAAGCATCAGTTTCCTCAAAGCCGCTTCCCTACTGGGACAGAGTCACAAACAACTACCAACACCCTACCCGCCCCTCCTTCCCTCACTGCGGTAACTCGGAGCAGCAGGACAAAGCGCCTGGGATAAGGACTGAAGACTGAAGCAGCCATGGGCTCTGAAGGAGTGGGCCTCCCTGGGGGCAGGTGGGCCCTGCTTCTCCTGTTTCTGTTGGCTGTGGGTAAGTGGGGCTGTCCCTTGATCAGCTCTGATTCAAAGCTTGGCCAGGGCAGAAAAGACTCCCTGGTTCTTTTGCTTCCCTTTTGTTGTAGGAATACCAGAGATCAGAGATGATGGACGACGACGACGACGATGAGAGAGAGATTGTGCTTGAGTGTGTGTGAGAGAGAGTGTGTGTAAGTGTATGTGTGAGTGTGTGTGTGTGTGAGTGTGTGAGTGTGAGTGAGTGTGAGAGATTGTGTGACAGTGTGAGAGAGTGAGTGTGTGTGGGTGTGAGATATTGTGTGACAGTGTAAGAGTGAGTGTGTGTGTGTGTGAAAGTTGTGTGAGTGTGTGTGAGTGTGAGAGTGTGTGTATGTGAGAGAGAAGGAGAGAAAGAAACAGAGAAATAAAGACTGAGCGAGAGAGAAAGAAGACAGAAACAGGAACAGACAGACACAGACACTGAGAAACAGACACAGAAAGAGCGAGAGACAGACAGAAAGATAGACAGAGACAGAACTACGCAAGCCCTGGCCTGGCCGCTGTGTATGCCAGTCTTCTCCTTTGCAGCGAGCAAGCTTGCTATTTGGGAATCCACCTTCAGTAGCAAAGGCCATCAGACAAATTTCTTCACAAGAGACAGGGCAGAGGTGTGGGGATACCGGGGCTTTGTGGGTAGTCAGTCCTGACTGTTTCCCTTTCCTCCCAGGAGGCATGGCTCAGGAGTCCCCACCCCAGATCTTAGTTCACCCCCAGGACCAGCTGCTCCAGGGCTCGGGCTCTGCCAAGATGAGCTGCAGCGCATCAGGCCGGCCACCCCCCACCATCCGCTGGCTGCTGAATGGGCAGCCCCTGAAGGTAGATGTAGACCTATACCACCTCTTGTCCGATGGAAGCCTCCTCCTGCTGCGGCCCCCCATGCAGGGACGAGCCCAGAATGACCAGGCCCTGTCTGCAATCCTGGGCATCTACACGTGTGAGGCCAGCAACCAGCTGGGCACGGCAGTCAGCAGAGGCGCTCGGCTGTCTGTGGCTGGTGAGGCCTGAAGAGGGGGAAGCAGGGTGGGCTGAGCCTGGGCTGAGGTGCTTTGTTGAGGGATGTGTGAGGGGGGATCTGTGAGGGAAAGCCTGGGCTGGGGACTTGGGAGGAGAGCTGGGTTGGACTTGCCCTATCGGGGAGTCCTGGGGGACAGGCAAAGAGTAGAGTGAGTGACAGGAGACAGCAAGGCAGGTCTCTAGGAAGAGGAAGCCTGGGCCCTGCTCCCTGCTGACCCGCCATCTGTCCCACAGTCCTCCGAGAGGATTTCCAGATCCAGCCCCAAGACACGGTGGCCATGGTGGGTGAGCAGGTGATTCTGGAGTGTGGGCCTCCCTGGGGCTACCCAGAACCCACAGTCTCATGGTGGAAAGATGGGAAACCCCTGGCCCTTCAGCCGGGGCGGCACACGGTGAGTGGAGCCCCCTTCCCACACTTCATCCTGTCCTGAGCACAAGTCAGCACAGTCTGGAGAACCGGCCTGCTTGCCGGCCCAGTGCTCCCCGGCAGAATTTGAGGCAGGGAAGGCATTGAGGCCTCCAGCCGTCCTCCGGTGTCAGAGCCTCTCCTCCCATGAGGACATCACAATGTACCCGGCCCTCTCAGGTATCCAGTGGTTCCCTGCTGGTGTCAAGTGCAGAGAAGAGTGACACGGGGATCTATATGTGTGCAGCTGCCAACAATGCGGGACAGCGCGAAAGTCGAGCAGCCAGGGTCTCTATCCAGGGTAAGGGCAGGGGGCCAGTTAAGGTCCAGGGCAAGGTGGGAAGCTCCACTTAGGGTGGGAGTGGTCAGGTTTGGACTGGGATTGGGGTATGTGGGGCTCAGCGTGGGGTCAGGATTGGAGTGGTGGGGACCCCACCCATGCACTAGAGGTGAAACAGGAGTGCTCTAGACCTGGGAACTCTGGGAGGTTAGGGTCGTCTGTGGCTAGGGGATGTACCACTCCCCCACCCCTGGCCTATAGGCCCCAGCCCATCCCTATGCTTCCCACAGAGTCCCAAGACCACAAGGAACCTCTGGAGCTTCTGGCTGTACGCATTCAGCTAAAAAATGTGACCCTGCTGAACCTAGACTCCAAGAAGGGCCCCAAGCCTGGGCCAGCTGTGTGGCTCAGCTGGAAGGTAAGGCCTAGAGGTGACAGCCAGTCCAGAGCTCAAGAGAGGGCTGTTGCATGCTTCTTACCCTTATCCTTCCTCTGGTTCCTTCCCAGGTGAGTGGCCCTGCTGCACCTGCTCAGTCCTACACAGCTTTGTTCAGGGCCCAGACAGCCCAGGGAGACCAGAGAGCTCCGTGGGCAGAGGTGCTGCTGGACGGCTGGCAAAGTGCAGAGCTCAGCGGACTCCACTGGGGCCAAGCCTACGAGTTCAAAGTGAGACCATCCTCTGGCCGGGCTCGAGGCCCTGACAGCAATGTGTTGCTCCTGAGCCTGCCAGAACAAGGTCAGAGAAGGATTCTCCCACGGTCTAACGATATTCCACTTGGCTGGGGGCCCTTCTTGACTGGGGACCCCTGAACTGCCTCACTAGTCTGGGGAGGATGATAGAGCTTCCTTCTACCTTAGCCCGGCAAGGAGAGCTGAAGAAGGTGCTATTCTTCTCAGTGGGGCTCTGACTATGTCTCCCATTTCAGCTCTTTTCCCTAGAAAAGCCTTGAGAGATCAGCACCCCTTACAGTTGCTCTTCCTTCCCCCCAGTACCCAGTGCCCCACCCCAAGAAGTGACCCTAAAACATGACAACAGCAGCATCCTTGTGAGCTGGGTCCCACCACCTGCTGAAAACCACAATGGCATCATTCGTGGCTACCAGGTACTCTCACAAGGGGACACAGCCTTTCCCAGTGCCACCAGCACACCCTTCAACTCCACAGTTCTCTGTACCCTGCTCTGGCCACTGAGAAAAGAACCTGTGCAGGAAAAGCAAAGGAATCTTGCCATTACTAAGTGAGGACCTACTGTCTGCCAGACCTGCCTAGCACTTTACCTCCCCTGCCTCATTTCACAATCCACCCTGGGTTATGATCCCCATTTTACACGTGGAAAGGGAAGCTAAGGTCATAGATACAGGAAATGGAACAGCAATCAACCAGGCGGGGTCAGACTCTAAGTCTTCAAGGTAGTGGTGCTTAAAGTGTGGCTCTTGGACAGCCAACATCAGCATCATCTAGGAGCCTGTTAAGAATGCAGATTCTCAGGGCCTTTCCTAGCCCCTATATCAGAAACTCGTGAATGAGCTTGGCCACTTGTGGTTTAGAAAGGCTCCAGGTGATCCTGAAGCACGCTGAGGTTTGAGAGTCACTGGTCCTGGGTATATTTTAACAGATTAATTTGCCCTTTTCTAGAGGGAAGTCCTTCTCACTTAGTAGAAAAGTGGGGAATAGGAACTGTGAAGCATGGGGAGGGGGGTCCCCAGGTGAATGTCAGGGCAGAAGACCAGGTGCCTAGAATTGGATCTGCAGATGAAGGCTCAGCTGCTCACCTTTGCTTGTGTCCCAGGTCTGGAGCTTGGGCAACAGCTCATTGCCTCCCATCAACTACACTGTCATGGGTGTGCAGACCCAGCTGGAGATCGATACCCGAACATCAGGTTCCTACTGTGTCCAAGTGGCTGCGTTCACTGGGGCTGGGACTGGGGAACCCAGTAGCCCTGTCTGCCTCCTGTTAGGTGAGAGCAGTAGCCACGGACCCAACCCTTCTGCATGCAAGCCACCCTCTCCTCTCCCTATTCCTGCCTCACACTTTAGCCCCTCCCTCTTGTCTACTGGACTCATTGCCTCCTTTGTCCTCGCCCTGAGCCTCACATTCTATACAGAGCAAGCCATGGAGCGATCAGCCCAAGAACCCAGTGAGCATGGTCTCTGGACCTTGGAGTGGCTGAGGGCCACCGTGAGGAGGCCAGAGGTCATCACCAGTGGAGGCGTCCTCCTTTGGCTGCTGCTGCTGGGCATCACTGTGTGTGTCTACCGCAGGCGCCGAGCCAGGGTGCACATGGGCCCAGGTGAGAGGCCCATCCCATGTGTTCAGGTCTCCCCGGGGCCCAGCTAGGAGGCCGCAGTGGATTAGATCTCTGGTCAGGTGATGGTCAGGCTTCTGGATTTAGCCTTCTCTCGGTCTTCTCCCAGGGCTATACAGATACACCAGTGAGGATGCCATCTTAAAACACAGGTGAGAGATGAAAGGGGAGGGCTCTATGGGGTGGGGAGTCAAGAGGCAGTGGAGGTGGGACCAGGAATTGATGAAATGCTTCTCTATCCTACTGCCAGGCAGTTTGACATCTTAGGACTCCAGGACACCAAGTTACAGTTAATTTCTCTCACTAATGTTCTGCGGCACCACCTGACAGCTGGGCAAACTGAGAGTCACAAAACTGAAGTGACTCTGACAAAGGCGTCACAGCTGACCTTCCCAATCCCTCTGGTCCAGGTTCTTGTCGCCCACCTCTCAGCAATGCGCCCTTTGGTCTGGTTTGGGCATGAGGATGAGGTGGGTCACAGCGAAGGATAAGGAAGGGAGCTAGGAGATAGATTACAGAAGGCTCTGTCAGCTGTGCCGGGCGCCTGGACTCTGCACTGCTAAATAGGGACTTACTGAAGCTTCCGAGCCGAGAAGTACATCACTCAGATCTCTGCTCTTGGAGGATCCCTCAGGCAGCTGGAAGCCAATAGCCATGTAACAAGCTCCTGCTCCACCAGCCAAGTGACCTCATATTTCCTTATTTAAATTCACAGTGTCAACTGTACCTGGAATGTCTTGTGGTTGCCGTTTTACAGATGAATAAAAAGGGGCTGAGAGAGGCAACTAAATGGATTTACCTGCCTGGGCTTGTACAGTGCAGGCTGTGGCAGACAGAGATTTTCAAACCAGGTTTGCCTGGCTCCAGATCTGCTCTTCTCACCTCAGCATCCACAGTTATTTCTCTTTACCATCTCCTAGCTCTAGGCAACTTGGATTTCCGCTCATCCTGGGGCAGAAAGGGGTGCTGAGTTTGGGGCACCAGATCAGAGATCTTCCAGTGTCTGTGAAGGACTAAAAAGTAGTAGTGAGGACCAAGCTAACACTACCGTCCTCAACTCCTCTGCCACCTTCTGAGCAGAGGTCTTGCCCAGTTAGGTTGCCAACTTGAACTGTTCTCCCCCACCTCCCCACCCCCCTACTGCGTCAGGATGGACCACAGTGACTCTCCCTGGCTGGCAGACACCTGGAGATCCACCTCTGGCTCTCGGGACTTGAGCAGTAGCAGCAGCCTTAACAGCCGGCTGGGAGTGGACCCCCGGGACCCGCTAGACTGCCGGCGCTCCTGTGAGCATGCCTTGCGGGGACAGGGATCCCAGGGATGGAGAGTGGCAGGTGGGGTGGGACATGCTCGCCATAACTCTTCCTGTCATTTTTATTGCAGTGATCTCCTGGGACCCCCGAAGCCCCGGGGTGCCCCTGCTTCCAGACACCAGCACCTTTTATGGCTCCCTCATTGCTGAGCTGCCCTCCAGCCCCCCAGCCCAGCCAAGCCCCCAGGCCCCAGCTGCCAGGCGCCTTCCTCCCCCATTGGTGCGGACCTCCAGCCCCTGGCCCAGCTCAGACAGCCTCTGCAGCCGCAGGGGCCTCGCTTCGCCCCGCTTGTCTCTGGCCCCTGCAGAGGCTTGGAAGGCCAAGAAGAAGCAAGGTTGGGAGGGGTTGCAGGTGGGAGGGACCAAGCGTGGGAACTAAGCCTGCTGGTCTCAAAGCCCAAACAGGGCGTGGGCCGTGGCCCCCACAGCACCCCTTCTCCCTGCTCAGCAGACACAGGGTCCTGTTTCCCAGGCCCAGAGCACTCATCAGTAGTGTGCCCACCCTCGCTTGTCTTTACAGCAGTGGGCCCTCTTTCTTTTTTTCTTTTCTTTTTTTTTTGAGACAGTTCAGGCCGGCCTTGAACTCACTTTGTAGCCCAAACTGGCCTCGAATTTGAAGTGATCTTTAAAACTGCACTCTTCCATCTCTTGTCCGTTATATCAGGTTCTTGGTCAGGCCCTTTTTGCCAGATATGTGCACTAAACAGCCTCATTCATTCATTATTTCATTCCAAGTATACTTACAACAACTCAGATATGTCCAATAAGATTTAGCCTTTGACCGTAAGAACATTTTATGGTGTAGTTCTTTCACGCAGTATTGGAGCAAAAGTCCAAGTAACTCCAGGCAAGGTGGGAGGAGGTCTTTTGTTGCCAATGTCCCTTGTAGCAAATGAAATAGGCTGGGATAAATATGGTCTTTTCCACGCCTGGATTTTCCCCTTTCTTTCCCACTTAAGTCAACCACCAATATATGCTCACATTTCATATCTTAGTTAGGAAGCTAGGCACTAGACACTGTAAACCTGACAGTAGAGTTAGATCACCAGACTTGAAGCTGGTCTCCAGGACTCCCTAAAGTCATGTGAGAACTAAAGAATACAAATAAAAACAAAAGCAGCCTAAGGAGAAGAGGACATCTTAATGGACGAAGTCTGGCCTTTGTGTGGGTTTTCATCCCAATGGATCAGAAGTTCAGGCCAGTGGTACATGGACTCCCTGGTTGGGTCCATGCGTTCACTTGTTTATTCAACAAACATTGCTGAGTGACTCTGGCAGGCCTTTGGCTCCCTAGGTGAGACCAATACATTTTCTTCTTCTGAAGTTCCTCTTCCTGTCAGTCAGCTCCCTCTGGTCTTAACTTGTATGGTCTAGGCCTTCCTATTTTTATCTTATTCATTCAACTTGACAGTCCAGCCTCCCTCTCCAAGTGAAAGACATGCAGGCGTCTCAGGGCAGGGTTATCCAGAACTGTGTGAGATATTTGCAGTGCAAGAAATGGAAATTATACAGATTCTGTCCAAGAAAAGGAGTATGTGCCTTCAGATGGCCACGATTCATGAGAGAAGCACTGTGAAGGAATAGAGATCAGGAAGATTAGAGTGGAATACAGTACAGTGAAAAAAAAAAGAAAACTGTCTTTAAAGTCACTATTGTTTGCCAGGCATTTTGTGATGTTTTTACTTAATCCTCAAAACCATCATTTGAAGTGGTTGTTTACAAAACAAACCTGAGGCTCAGCAAGGTTAACGGACCTCCTGAGGTTACGCAGCGCAGAGGAGAAGGGCTTTGGAAGCCCAGTGCCCCTTCTGCCTGTCACGCTGCCTGGATGAAGATGGCGAGGTGGAGAGGTTACACGGGAGTTTCTTCCTCTTCTGTTCTGGGTTCAAGGTTCCACAGGGTGAAATGAATAACAAGGGCGAAGATGGAGCCTGTGGTTGGGGTCTGAAAGGCTCAATCTGGCTTATCTCCAACCACCACCTCTTTGCTTTGCAGAACTGCACCAAGCCAACAGCTCTCCCCTGCTCCGGGGTAGCCACCCACTGGAGCTCTGGGCCTGGGAGTTGGGACACAGAAGCTCCAAGAACCTTTCCCAAAGCCCAGGTGAGAGGAGACCTCAAGAAGAAAGGAGGGGTGACGAGGCAGGCTGCAGGGACCCAGCGGCCAAGTCTCCACACCTGGCTTCTCCGGGGACCCTGCAGAGGCTGAGGGGCTGGGTGGCTGGAGGGGGTCTCGGCTGAAAGAGCTTCTGCCATTCTCAGGCCCAGGCTCTTGTTTCCCAGCAGCTGTGCCTGGGGCTCTGGTGGCCTGGCGGGCCCTGGGACCACAGCTCCTCCGTAACTCCAATGAGCTAGCGACCCGCCCTCTCCCTCCAGTTCCTCTCTCTCCAGGCGGAACCCACACTCAGAGTCCACAGACCCAGTAAGAGGGCACGGGGCGGGGAGGTTGTGCTGGGGTTGGACCTGGCCAGGAAGGGGTGCACAAGACCTAAAGAACAGTACTAACCACCTTGCCATCCTTCCCTCACCCCAACCAGGCACTCCGTGGAACCCCAGGCTTCTGCTCCCCTCCCCGTCCTTAGCCCCTCCAGGTCTCCCAGCCCCCAGCCCTCGTCCCTCTCTGGTCCCAGCCCAGCTTCCAGCCGCCTGTCCAGCTCTTCACTGTCATCCCTGGGGGAGGATCAGGACAGTGTGCTGACCCCTGAGGAGGTGGCCTTGTGCCTGGAACTCAGTGAGGGCGAGGAGACCCCCAGGTGAGTGCCTGAGAGGCAGCCAAAGAGCCTCAGGGGAACAAGCTGGGAGGGTCTTTGTTCCTGCCTCAACCGGCGTGTTTCTGCTACTGTGCTCTAACCATTGCACCGCCTCCCTCTTCCTAGGAACAGCATCTCTCCTATGCCCAGGGCGCCTTCGCCCCCTACAACCTATGGGTACATCAGCATTCCAACAGCCTCGGAGCTGGCAGATGTGGGCAGGGCTGGAGGAGGCGTGGCATCTGAAGGGGGGGGCTTGTTGTGCCCACCTCGGCCCTGCCCCACCCCTACCCCCAGTGAGGGCTCCCTGGCCAATGGCTGGGGCTCGGCCTCTGAGGACAACGCGCCCAGTGCCAGAGCCAGCCTGGTCAGCTCTTCTGATGGCTCTTTCCTCGCTGATGCTCACTTTGCCCGTGCCCTGGGCATGGCTGTGGATAGCTTTGGTTTTGGTCTGGAGCCCCGGGAGGCCGACTGCGTTTTCACTGGTATGTGAGACCCCCTCTTACCCCTCACTCCTCCCCCTTAGGGTGCACGTGGCTCCTGGAAGACAAAGGTCTTCCTTCTTTTCTCCCTAGCCATGAGGCTAGGCTTCCTACGGCCATCTTCAGCCCCATCATTAAAAGACCTGGCATTTGTTGGGTGATCACTATGTCTTAAGAAGTAGGAGAAAAAAAAAGAGGAGAACTGATTTTTTTTTTTTTTGAGATAGGGTTTCACCATGTAGTTCAAGGTAGCCTTAAACTCACAGTGGTCCTCCTGCCTCAGCACCCTGAGCCTTGGGATTACATGTGTGGCCTACCACACTTGGCTAGGAGAACTGCTTTATATGATTTATATCAACAACTCCAGCTGGGTGTGGTGGAGCATGCCTGTAATCCCAGCACTTGGGAGGCTGAGGCAGGAGGATCATTGCAAGTTTGAGACCAGCCTGGGCTACGAAGTGAGCTCAAGGCCAGCCTGAACTGCACAGTGAGACCCTGTCTCAAAAAAAGGCAAAAAAAAACAAAAAACAAAAAAACAAAAAAACTCCATGAGGAATATTCTCTCTTCATTTTCAATTTTTAAAAAAATTTTAATTAGTACATGTCTGTAGTGAATAACGTTTATATGCCTTGTATTAGCATTGTTACCTGCACCTAACACATCCCAATTCCTTTTTCTCAGTCCTTGTCCCTTCTCTTCCTCCCCCTCTATCTCTGTCCCCTCCCCCTCTGAGAATGACCTATCTCCCTACTTCCTAGTATCTATTATTTTGTTCTTTATTTCTACTCTGGGTTTCTCATATAGGAGAAACTATGCAATAGTTAAACTTGTGTGTCTGATTTATTTCATTTAACTTTAGAGTCCCAAGGTAAATCCAATTTTGAACAAATGACTCAAGTTTATCCTTCTTTATGGCAAAGTAGTACTCCATTGGGCATAAACACTGCATTTTCTTTATCCATTCATCTGTTGATGAACATATAAGCTGCTTCCAAGATTTAGCTATTGTGAACTGTGCTGTTATAAACATGGATATGCATGTACCTCTGTACTACAATGTCTTTAACTCTTTCAGGAAGATATTTAGAGTATATCTGGATCAAATGGGATTTCTAGTTTTAGTTTTTGAGGAATCCTCATGCTGATTTCTGTAGTGGTTGTGCTACTTTACCCTCCCACCAACAGTGTAAAAGGTTTCCTTTTCCCCCAAAGCCTCTCCAGCATCTGTTATTATTTGATTTCTTGATGTTTGCCATTCTTTCTGGGGTAAGATGGGATCTCAGTATTGTTTTAATTTCCATTTATCTAATGACCAGTGATGTTGAGAATTTCTTCGTGTATTCATTAGCCATTCATCCTTCTGTGAAGTATCTGTTCATTTCACTTGCCCATTTTTTGACTGGGTCTTTTATGTTGGAGAGTACAATTTTAGGGGGTTCTTTATATATTCTAGAAATGAGCTATCTGTCTGAGAAATAGCTGGCAATTTTTTTTTCCACTCTGTTGATTGTCTTTTCACTCTCTCGGTTGTTTTTTTTGCTGTGTACAAGCTTTTCATTTCATATGGTCCAATTTGTTGATTCTTAGAACTATTTCCTAATTGGGGTTCTGTTCAGAAAGGTTTTGCTGGAGCTGGGGATGTAGTTCAGTGGCACAAGCACCTGCCTGGCAAGTGCAAGGTCCTGAGTTCAATTCCTGGCACAAAAAAAAAAAAAAAAAAAAAAACCAGAAATAATGTGCAGAAAGGCCTTGCTCACTCTTATGACTTCAAGAATTTGCCTATCTTGTCTTCCAGCAGGAAATGTTTCTGGTTTAATATTCAGATCCTTGGTCCATTTTGATTTTAGTTCAGTGCATGGTGAAAGAAATGGTCCTAGATTCAGTCTTCTGCCTGTGGAAAGCCAGTTTTCCCAGCATTTGTTAAAGAGGCTATCTTTCCCCCAGTCATAAGGAATACTCTTTGCCAGTCTTTCAAATCATGAAATTATAAGTCAGATAAATTCATTAGTTTGCCCCAAATCGCCCACAGAGCAAGGAGAAACTCTCCACTTCGAGCGTGTAGTCATGGACTCCTGCCATTCTGCTCATTCCCCTGCCTTGGGACTCCGCCCTAACCAGATACGGTTCCCAGGAAAGTCATTCCACCGCCTCTCCCGTCTTCTTCCTCCATGTGTCATATGCCTGCTCTCCCTGCTGTGCTTCCACACCTTCCCTCCTGCCCTGGCCACGGCGGGATTGAAGAGCAGCTGGGCTCAGCTTCCAATGTCTAGCAGAGTGGGCCTTTTGTTTGCATGTCAGCAGAAAGTAGCTCAGGACTCACCAGCCCCTTTGGTGTTCTCCACCCCATGCCCTGTCAGATGCCCCAAGCCCATCTTACTAACTCCATCCTTCACCCTCAAGAAAAACTAGGCTTCAAATGAGAGGACAAAGAAGACCCAGACAGAAGTGCCCCTGATGCAGGAAGAAGGAGGATCTGTAGGGAATGAGTGAAGGGAGATTTTGAATTAGAGCAAACCACCCAAGCTGTTCTCTCTAAAGGATCTTATAAGCTGAGCAGTACACGTGTGTAAGCTCAGCATCCTGGGAGACTGAGGCAGGAGGATTGCAAGTTTGACCCCAGCCTGGGAACTTAGTGAGACCCTGTCCCAAAATAAAAAATAAAAAGAGGTCTGGGGATATAGTTCAGTGCAAAAGCCCTTGATTCAATTCATAACATCAAAAGAAAACTAGAGACAGAGACAGACAGACAGCAAGAGAAAGAGACAAAGAGAGACAGAAAATAGGAGAAAGAAAAAGAGGACAAGGAAGGAGGAGGAGAAAAGAGAGGAAGAGGAAGGAGAGCAAGAAGAGAAGAAAGAGAAGGATGAAGAGGTAGAGGAGGAGGAGGAAGAGGAGAAAGAGGAGAAAGAAGAAGAGGAGGAGGAGGAAGAAGAGGGCAGAGCCAGCTGAAGAGAGGAAACCAGTGGGCAGGGCTCTGGTCTGCAGTCACGGGACTAAGGGTGAGCTGGGGCTAGCTTATGTTAGGGCTGTGTGTATACCCTAAGCTAGTCCTATGTTTTCCACCCCAAACTGGCTCCTAGAGGCTGAAGGTGAACCCCCACAGACACCTCTTCTCTCCCTGACAGACGTCTCATCACCTCCCTCCCCACGGGATGACATCTTCCTGACGCCCACCCTTTCCCTGCCCCTATGGGAGTGGAGGCCAGACTGGTTGGAGGACATAGAGGTCAACTACACCCAGCAGCTGGGAAGGGGGCTGCCTCCTTGGACCCCTGACTCTGGGATCTCTTCCCAGTGAAGTCGGCTCAGCTGTCCTGAACCCAAGGCTGGGGGTGAGTGTGTGGCTGTCTGGCTAACACGGTGAGCTTCACGTCAGGGGTCCCGGGGAGGAGCCAAGAGGAAGCTTGGGGTCTGGCAGCAGAGACAGGATCAAGGCAGATAACTCTGCTCTTCTTCCACTCTTAACTACAGATTCCTCCTGAACTGTGAGTCTGAGATAGACAGCAGGACCTCGGGGCCAGCCCTCCTGTGTGCTCACAAGGCTGGCCTGTGCCTCCAGGAGAGTTTTCCCACCAACATTGCTCAAAGAAAGAAAAAAGATGAAAGCAAGAGCAAAGTAGACCTGGAGCATTCTGCATGCAAAGCATCACCTCCACCTGACCCCAGGATCCTCTCTCCTCAGAGCCACCCTTCAGCCTGGGCCTCTGGCCTCAGGAGCAGCTCTGTCTCCTGCTCTTCCCCCCCAGGGGTCACAAGAAGTGGGGAGCCAGAGGGCTCTCCACAGAGGACCCAGTGGCTGGTCAAGAGGGCTGTGGAAGCAGAGCGCCTCCTCTCTCAGCCCTACCTGGGCCCCTCCTCTAGAGGCCAGTGCAAACCTCTCCCCGGCCCCATCACATAGAGAAAATAAAGCAGCGGCACTGGGGCCCTACCTAGTGCCAAGGCCCAGGGCTCAAGGATGGGTCTAGGGAAGAGACTGAACAAAGAGATGAGCGAGCATGGGACAAAAGCACCCTCCTCATCCCACTGTCACTTTGAGCTTCTGAAACTTGATGCTATAAAACTGTAAAGACTTGAGCTTCATGAGATCATTTCCTGGGGCATCACTTTGGGGATGGCTCCTGGATGGCAAGAGATACTTGTGTCAGGAAGGGACCGAGCATGGGATGACACTCGGAGAGTGCCCCTCATTTCAGCTCTGCAATTACAGAGGGCCTGAGGTACAGCCACAGGATCATGAGCGGAATCTGCTAACGAGAGTGGTGGGAGTTTCACAGTCTGCTAGCCCTGGCAGCTTCTGAGAAGACAGTTCTAGCTTTCTGCAGTCCCAGTCCCTCTCCTCAGAAACGAGTCCCAGATGGTTTCTTAAAAGTAGGCAAAGAAGCTCAATCCCACAGGTAGAACCACTGTGGCTGGCTCGTGAATAAATACTCTTGCAATAAAGCTTGAGAGCAGAGACGAACGTGGGTGGGAGCCGCTGAAACTAAATGTGGGGGGCAGGTAGGCCTGTGTTCACATGTGGCAGGAAAGGTCAGGGGTTGAAGCCACAAGTGCGGGGATGCTCCAGAGCATGACCAGGGCCACAGGAAGATGCCTGATCCAGAAGCAGGCCGTGTAAGGAGGTACTAATCTTCCAATCCAAGCAGGTCCACTCTGGGTGGGACGGGGGCTGGGTGTGCGTCCATCAGGCCAGACTGAGCTGGCTTTTCACGCTCCTAGGAAGAATCAGTTTCAGATACGCGTCCATATTATCCGCTTTACCTTTTGGGGGTTTTCGTTTTTCTTTGAGCTTCCTGGTAAAATTCCTTTTGTAAACACCCCAACTCTGTTTGCCAGCCTGAAAGAGAAAGGGGGATTTGCACACATCTGGGTCAACATGGAGGGTAAGGCTGGGGCTTGAGCTCGGAGGGCAGAGGCCACGCTCCAGGTCCACGGCAGTCACCAAGCCAAGGATGGAGCAAGGGAAAAGGAAACAATTCTTAGGCAGCCAACGAGTAGGCTGCAGTTGCAAGTGATAGGGCCTGTGGCATTCATGGCCAGATTTTATATTTCCGTGTCAGCCAAATCAATCGCCTCTGGGCCCACACTGGGCAAGGAGTGCCCACTGGCAGATCCTCCTTGAGGGAGTCCCGAGCATGCAGAAACATGCACTTTCTCCTTGCCTGGCACTCCCTCCTCCCTTTTTGGGTTTTTTAGAACTCACTTTTATTGTGATGACCACATACCCTTACAAAAAAGCGGACAGACCCCAGAGGTAGGAGCTAAAGAAGGGCCTGGCTCTGTTCTCTGAGGCGAGGCTGGTGTCTGCTCACTGGCTATCTGGAAAGGCCCTGTGATTATACCGGGACAGTGGGCTTCAGCTCCTTGGTGGGGCAGAACAGGTCAGTGTCTCCTAGTGTTCGTCTTTACCTAGTACTTTTGATGGATGTTCAAGAGCACACAGAATCTACTCATGCACATTGACCTACAGACTGCCACAGCCCCTACAGCCCCCTTCGTTCCAACACACCACACAAAACAGACAGATGGTCCAAGGCTTAGGTCAGACCCTCTTTATTGACTCTTACACAAACAAGTCTCAGTCAGAACAAGACACAAGGGGAAGCGCTGGCTTGCTGACCTCCAAACCAATTGAAGCTACTGAGGCCAAGGGGCTTCTGGGAACCACAGGCATCACTGCAGGAGGGACGAGGGCTCCGTCCTGCTCCTCTCGGTTCACACTTTGATTTACCAGGGCAGGAGCCCCACCCCCTGCCCCCAGGACTCTCTACAGCCTCATGACGTCATCAAGGGTCATCTTGGCTCCTGGAGACAGAGAGACAAAGAGAAGCTGGCTGTCTTGTAAAGCCCTAGGCCAGGGCAAACAGGTCAGAGGACGGGATCAGTCTTTCTCCTAACCCAACTCTCCTATGAATACCCTGTCCCCTCTCTAGGCTGAGTCACCTTGTCCTCTTCCTTTTCTTACATGTTCATTTTTCACTGTACTGGCGGTTAGACTCAGGGCCTCTCCCACGCTAGGCAGGCACTCTACCACAGAGAGTGTATCATCAGCCTTCTAAAGATTTTTATTTTGGGTCTAAGTTGCTCAGGCTGGCCTCAGACTTGCAGCCCTCTTGCTTTAGTCTCCCAAGTGTCTGGGATTACACACATGCACTCTATGCTTTTCCCTCTTGTCATTTCTTCCAAAGGACACCTTCACACACACACAGTCTCCTCTTTGTGACCCCTCCCCGGTCCCTCTCCTACCTCCCCGTTCTCAGTCTGCCCACCCTAGCCTTCAGCTCTCGTTGCTCTGCGGTCTCTGGTCCCCACCTCTTGACATTTCTGTCCTGGCCTTTGGCTCTGGCTCCGGCTCCGGCTCCGTCCAGGACCCCGGGAGCCTCGAGAGCTGCCAGAGCCCCTGGAAGAGTTGCTCCCAGCTGTGGAACAGGTGCTGGTGCCTTGGCCCCGGGACAGGAAGCTTGGCCTGCCGTATGAGAGCCAGGCGTCTTCTGCAAGAAAACAGAGAAGGGCAACTGGGTCCGGGCAAGAGGTTCCACATCCCTGCTCACCCACCTGCCCCACTAACTGCCATCCTAGCGCAGGGAGATGACGGAGGAGCGGGCACCGGCCTTGGCCATGCTGGGTGCTGAGGAGAAGCACAGTGCCCGGGACACGGCCTTGACAAATGAGGGCTCAGAAATATGTGGGGAGCCCTGGGGAAGCGAGGACAGAGCTCCCAGCCCCCTGGGCTTCAGTCCTGAGAAAGGACACATATTGGACTTGCTCAAAGACAGCTGGAGAGACAAGAGTCTTTTACATGAACCAGATATAAGAACCCCACTGAAGGTGAAGGGTGATTTGGGTACCACCTGGCCCAGCCTCCAGTCCCCTCTGGCCACCCTGGCCCTCCTTACCATCCTGGTGGGGTCCCCGCTGGGCCCCGGGGGGCACTGCCTGCAACACTCTTCTTTCCCCACTGCGCTCCCGCTCCAAGGAGGACAAGCTGCCTGCTGCTCTCAGCCCCAAGGCCCACCCCGCCTCCTCCTCTGGTGGTGGCAGGGGTGGTGGAGGCAAGTCTGGGGAGAGACCTGTTTTCAGCAGAGTCTAATCTTCCTCCCACCTTCCTTCCCTGACACCGGGAAGCTGCAAATGAATGGCCCACGATTTGGCTTTGCCTGCTCCAGCCCCCAGAGCTCATCCTTGGTCTCTTGCCTCTCCCTCCCTCCCTGACTGTTCCCATGTCCCAGGCTCAAGGTCCCCTCACCCCCGGGACTGCGCTCCCTCCTGTAGGGAAGAGCCTTGGGCTTTTTTCGGATTCGGGCACGTGGTCCCTGAAGTGGAGGAGTCATTTCCCCGGGCACCTGAAGGGCTCTCCCTGTAGCATCAGGGGATGGAGAGAGGACAGGCAAGGGAGGGGGTCAGGTAAGGAAAAAACAAGCTCGAGGGGTAGGGAGAGGTGGGGGCAAGCGAGGGTCTACAGACTCACCTGGGGCACTGCGGGTAGTACTAGGCATGGGGCTGGGGCTGAGCTGGGAGGCTGTGGCGCCAGCACCCAGGCCAGCGAGTCTCCCTTCGTGGCTACTCAGACTGGGCTGGGAGACACTGAGAGAGGAACTGGGCCCAAGGGGTGCCCTCCTGCAATGACATGAGGCCTCTTCATTTGTCCAGTCCTCAAAAACCAAGAACCTTCGAGGTCCTGTGGCAGACACCAGCCTAACACTCAGAAGGACCTAGCCCACTGTCCCATAAGGCCTCCCAAGCTGGGGAGCTGGACAAGAGCCATGCTTGAGATGCCCTGGAATTCTTGCACTCATCCAACAAAGATCCAGGCTGAAGGCAGTGAGAGACTTTGTCAGCCTTGGCATCCTTCCCCATGTCACACTTCTACCCTGACACGTCCTGGGACCTCTGGATCCCAGATTCAGCTATCCACCCACCCAGGCACTGAACAGGGATGTACAGAGGGCTTGTGATATGTGAGGTCTACACACCTCCCTACCTGGGCATCTGATGGAGATGGGGAATGTCACTGGGGGGCAGGGGAGGGTCAGGTGGTGAGGGGGTAAGAGTGGCTGTGGACTGCTGTCCATAGGAGGGCGTAGGAGAGGGGGTTTCCCCTCGGGATGGAGCCATCTGGCACCCTCCACTGGAGCTGAGCTCAGTCAGGTGGCTTCTCTCAGGCATGGGTGGGCACCACTCTTCCGACTCTGAGCTGGGGGCAAAGAGCAGGAAAGGAAGGGAAGGACCACGGCGTTCCCATACCTATATCTTGCCCTTTCCACTGCCCCCTTCCCTTCCTCTATCAGCATCTCTGCGGAAGGTCTTGGTGGGTCCACACATGGGGCTCTGCAGCAGGCCACGTGCTTACCTGCCCTCCAGCTCCTCCTCAGGCACCTCTGGGCATCCCAGTTCACAGGAGGGAGGAGGTGGTGGCAGGGCTTCTGCCCAGTTCAGAGAGGGCATCTTCACAGGTTTTCCTAGAAGCTTCACTTTGCCTCCCCGGGCTCCTGAGAAGAGTAGATTGAGGATAACAGGAAAGAGCCAGAGATGAGACGAGTCAGAAGGAAGGGCTCAGCGGGGTGCCGGCGTGTCAGGGTGCACGGTACTCTGGATAGGGCTAAATTAGGGTGTAAGGAATGGGGTCATACCACCATCCCCCTGACTCCATTCTGGAGGAGCATACTGGCTCCAGGTGCCTGGGTCCCCAGAGGAATGTTGGGGGAACCCCCCGTGGAAGGTCTGTAGCTCCTCCCCTGCTGGGTCAATGGTGCTGTAGACAGGACCCTCAGCAGGGGCAGCAGCGCCTCGGGCAGTCTGAGCCAGGTATAGGGAGATTCCTGCTTCTGAGGAGGAGAAAGAGGGAGGCCCAAGGGAGGAGGCAGGGGGCAGAGACAGAAAACCATAGGACCACAGGAGAAAGGAGGGCAAAGGAGGACCCCAGAGGATCAGCTTCCCCCTCCACCCCAAACCTTCCGTGCCAGGACAAAATAAAGATCAGGTCTGCTCCCCTGACACACCCTCCATCCAAGACCAACCTCAGGAAGACTGGGGTTCTTCAGTTCTCCCCAGTAGGTTGGGGCGGGGGCACCCTGAAG